TGACAAGCGCCGAAGTACGGCGGAGATATTACGTCACCCCTTTTCCCAAAATGGGCTCGTCCAAACGTGATTAGAGCTGCTCATCCTACCCCCCTCCACTCCTGGGCTCATCCTAGGTGTGTCGAATACCCTAACAGCAGTTAAGATCGAACTTCATTTCCTGTTCAGTCTTCGTGGTGAACGGTTGCTCTCTCTTGATTATCTAATTTGAGAATTTTGACTTTTCAGACAAAGTTTGAAAGCAGTTTGCATACAGTTTCTTTGTTGGTATTGTGTTGGTTCTGAGAGTTTTTTGACTTTTTAAGAATTTTGAATTTCTCGATAATTTTGAGTTTTTTCTGGAATTTGAGTGCTGATTTTAGAAAATTTTAATCGTTTCATCTCACTGGCATTACCTTTGGTTTTCTCTATATAAAGTTGTGCTCGCTTTGTTATTATTCGACGATAGTGTGATTTATTTGAGTGTTATATTCATAATGAAGAAATTTGTGATTGTTAAATACGTGGTCAAGAAAAATTATCGCTTCGGCGTACAGGCTCGTACTTTAGAGTTTGATGTAAAACCTATTCCACAAAACAAGGAACCGGTGGCTTACATCAAGGATGCAATCACCGAAATTGTTTTGAAAGGCACTGAGGGACTGCATCCAGCCGATAAAGTAGGTTTTTCATTTTGTTCCAGAGATTTCGCGAGGGGGCCAGGGTGGATAGCATTTGAAAATGCAGCGCATGTTTCTGTGGGCGATCTTTTCAAGGAAATATCATCTATTTATCAATCGAACTCTTGTGGCCTGAGCATCAAGACCTTTTGTCTCAGTGTAACATCTTGTAGGTTACCTGCTGGCAAGGGAAGAAAGCGCTGCTACAACTCTTTTGACGAAGAGTGTAGCAAGCGGAAGGAAATAATGACCATCAAAAATAAAGATAATTCATGTCTTCCTCATGCTCTTGTGTTAGCTCAAGCTCTCGCGAACAAAGATCGTGAGCTGAAAAGGGTCCGACAAGACATCGGCAAAATGCAGGGGCAAAGAGCGCGAGAATTGTTGGAAGCTGCAGGATTACTGTACCTACAGAGGGTTGCGGAATACCTGAGTTACAACAATTCCAACGGTTTCTCTCATCATACAAAATGACTGTTTACCAATATGGGAACACGGGCCATAACATTATTTCCAAGGGTTGAGATGGGGGTCTCTCATCGAATTTACTTCACCATGAGGGACACTTTAATGTCATAACCTCACTTACTGCCACCTTCTGCTGTGAGTTTTATTGTGAGGAATGACATATCCCCTATAACAATAAACACGAACACCAATGTGGTGGTTCTTGTTTTTCGTGCCAAGGATCACCACCATGTCCTAAAAACAGTGTAAAAGTTCCCTGCGAGTCTTGTAAGAGATCTTTCCGTGGACAGAGTTGTTTTGATAACCATATTCAAAACGGGGTTTGTGATGAGATTAGACGTTGTGAGTTATGTTTTAAAATTGTCCCCACCAATAGAACTCACACCTGCGGAGAGATCTATTGTAAGATTTGTAACAAACATTTATGCTATATTCAGCCCGACACGAAAATACCCAAGACTGATGATCTCTTGTTTGTCTTTTATGATCTAGAGACTCGTCAGGAGAGGGTTCAAGCCGACAAATATCTCCTTCATGAGCCCAATCTGTGTGTCTTTCGTCAATGCTGTGATGTTTGCATGGATACCACACAGCAAATTTGTTCGAAATGCGGGCTTCGTTTACAAATTCTCAAATGTATATATATATATTTTCAAAAACCCAATTACCATATACATATTTCATGTACAAATTTCGTCCATTCTTTCTTGTTTATTGCCAGATGTTTTGCTTCTTCCCATGTTTTTTCTTTCTTCCTAAGTATTTCTCCTAGAACTCCGTCCCATATCTTCCTTGGTCTCCCTCGTTTCTTCCTTCTTTGTATTTTCGACTCTCATACTTGTTTTACCGGTCTTGATTCACTCATTCTTTGCAAGTGACCCCACCAACTCAGTTGACGTTTTTCTATGAAATTGAGTGTTGACTTTATCTCTAGATCTTCCCTTATTTTTATGTTTCTTATTTTGTCTTTTTTTGTTACACCTCTCACCCTTCTGAGGTATTTCATTTCTGTGGCTTGTATTCTGCTTTTTTGTTTCTCTGTCAATACCCAGGATTCACAACCGAATGTTAGGATTGGTCTATAAATTGTTTTAAATATATTAATTTTCGTTTTTCTTGAAATTTCCTTTTTGTTTATGAAAGACTTGTTCATTGCATAATAAAGATTCAGGGTTTTTTCAATCCTATTATTTATTTCTATATCTTGCTCTCCGCTGTCTTCTAATTCTACTCCCAAGTATTTGAAACTCTTCACTTGTTCGATGTGTATCCCTTCTAGTTGTATGTCGATTGTCTTTTGTTGGTCCCCCATTACCATTACTTTCGTTTTATTGATATTTAGTTTCATTTCGTATTCTTCGAGTACACTGTTCCATATCTCCATATTCCTTTGTAAGTCTTTTTCCTTTTCTGCCATAATCACTACATCGTCGGCAAATGCTCCTTCTGATATATCTATCCTGCGAAGGTATCTATATCCTACATAGAGTTTCTTGGCTCTAAGAGAGAATTTCTTGATTACCTCATCAATGTATACCGTGAACAATGCGGGGCTTAGTCCTCCACCCTGTCTCAATCCATCTCTTGTTGAAAACGACCCTGATGTTTTATTTTGGTAAATAATGCGGTTAGTATTATTTTCGTAAATATTTTTTATTATCCTTATTATTTCATTATTGATACCTCTTTCGGCCAATATATTCCATAATTTCTGTCTTGGCACTTTATCAAATGCTTTCTCCAAATCTATGAACCCCAAATACACTTCTTTACATTGTTGCAATGCCTTTTCTGCTATTTGCTTGATTGTGAATATATGGTCTTGAATACTCCTGCCTTTCCTGAATCCACTTTGTGACTCTTCTAATGTATTTTCCAATATTGGTTCCATCTTTCTATAAATAATTTGTTCTTATATTTTCATTGCTGTGCTCAGTAGAGTTATTCCTCTGTAACTATTACAATCTCCTTTATCTCCTTTTTTGTGTATTGGAACTATCGATGCTATTTTTCAGTCTCCGGGTATCTCCTCTTCTCTCCACACTCTTCTATAAAGTCCAAATAAAAATTTTGTACCTATGTCTCCCATATTCTTGAGCATTTCCGTTGTGAGCTTGTCACATCCTGGTGACTTTCCGTTTTTTAATTTACTTATCACTTCTTGTAGCTCCCTCAGTGTTATGAAATCTTCATCTTCCCCTCTTCCTATTTCAATTTGCCTATGTTCTTCTCGTATGGCCCCTTGAGCTCCCAACAGATCTTGGGAATATTCTTTCCACCTATTCATTATTTCATCTTCGTCCATCAGTATTTTTCCGTTCTTATTTTTAATTCGAGTTATGTCATTTATTTCATTTTTTCTTAATGATTTCGATGTTTTGTAAAGTAATTTTTGATTTGCTCTGCTGTCTCTTTCCATTTTTTCTCCGAATTCTGTCCATTTATGTTTCTTTGATACTGCCACTAGATCCTTCACTCTTTTCCTTTCTTCTTTATATGCTTCATAATTGTCTGATGTTTTGTTATTCAAATATTTTTTCCATTTTTCTTTCTTGATTTTCACTTGGTCTTTTATTTCATTTGTCCACCATGCTGTTTGTTTTCTGTTATTACTTTTTCTACTACTTCCGCATATGTCGTTGGCTGTGTTTAGTATAGTATTTTTGAAATAATTCCATATTGTTTCTATACTACCATTTTCTATCATTTCCATATTTTCTTCGGACTTCCGTGTTAATTCCATCTTGTATTCTTTGGCAATGTCTGCGTTCAGTAATTTGTAGGACCTGATCGATTCATATTCAACAAGGTTCTCTGGTTTCACTTTATTATTATTGTTCATCGGAATTTTATCTTTAATTTTTGTCTCTACTAAATAATGGTCACTGCCAATTTCTGGTCCCCGTCTTACTCGCGTGTCTATTACGTCGTTTCTGTTGGCTTTCTCAATCAATATGTAATCAATTATAGATTCCTCGTTTCTGCTCTTTACTTCTCTTGTGTACTTATGTATATCTTTATGTTCGAAAAAAGTGTAAGTAATGATTAAATTTTGCATCACACAATAGTCAAGCATTCTTTCACCATTATTATTTCTGGTATTTTCACCATATGCACCAATTGCCGTGTTGTGTCTTCCATCTTTTTCCCCTACTCTACTATTGAAATCACCTAATACGAATATTTCACCTTTTGCTGATTCTGTTATCAGTGTTAGTTCTTCCCAAAAACCATATTTTACCTGGCAACTGTCGTCTTCGCTGGGTCCGTATACAATTATGATTGTCTTAGTATTCTTCTTCTGGTCCTCAATTTCTACCGAGAGTATCCGTTCCGATCATCCTCTCCATCCATGTACTTGTTCTGTTAATTTTCTATGTAATATGCATCCAACTCCTGCTGCTGCTCTATTTTGTTCTTGTACTCCACTATAAATGAATAAGTGTTTTGAATCCATCTCTGTAATTCATTTTCCTTTTTTCTTTGTTTCTGTTACAGCCAACACATCTAGTCCTGACTCTTCAAATTCTGATTCTAGTTCTTTCTCTTTTCCTCGTATACTCCTAATGTTTCATGTTCCAATCTTCCATATCGTTTTTCCTTTAATTTCGTTGTTCTTTATCATGTCCTTTTTCTTTGCCACATTCGTTAACTTATTTTCCTTTCTCGTATTTTCCATTTTCAGTTTTTTGCCTCTTCCAATTCTAATTTTTCATATACCTTGTTCCACTTCCATACTTTTTTATCGATGGTGATTTCATTATATCCAATTTTCACATTCTTGCCTTCATTTTTATTTTCTTTAGCAATTTTCCTTATTTGCTTACTTTTTTCTCTTTCTTTCTTTGTTTCATCTTCGTTTATAAATATTCTCTAATTTTTGTTATGTTTGTGTTTATGTTTATTTTTCATTATTTTCTCTTTGTCTTCTTCTTTTTCTAGCTCAATCAGACATGTTTTTTCTCCTAGTTTATGAGACGCCTTCACCTGCACGTCTATCGCCAGTTCTTTCTCCATCATAATTTTTATGGTTTTCTTTATTGTTTCTGCGTCATTTGTGTCCATCTTAATTCCCTGGATGACCACATTATTTTTCTTTCTTTGTTTTTCGAGCCATTCTACCTTGTCGCTAATTTCTTCTATTTTTATTTTCATTTCTTCATTTTCTCTTTTCAATTCTTGGTTCTCTTTCCATAGTGTTTGATTTTCTTCTCTGATTTTCTTAATTTCTTCTCGGCACTCCTCTTGCTCAGTTTTTATTTGTTTAGATTCCGATTTCAGTTCCCGCATCATTCTGATTAATAAATCAAGTTTATCCTCATTTTCATTATTTGTTTTTGATGGTGTCCTTGTTACTTTCGAACTTTTTCCGAATATATCTCTTCCATCGTAGACTGGTTTTCTTTTTTTTCCGCTACTATCTGATAAATAATCATCACTATCCATTTTCTGTGTTTGTATTCTGCTCGCTCTTTCCGTACCTATGCTACGCTACTGTCGGGTCAGTTCTTGCTGCCTATCGCCAGGCGCCAAAGATAACGCGCAATTCAACCTTTCGGACGAATTATCTTTACCTGCTGATAGCCGAGCTTCTGTCTGCCGATATCACGCCGTTTCCAAATTCACTGGTTTCAGTTCTAATTTCGCTCTTCCACAAATTTCCACTTCTTATATCACTAACTTGATATTGATTCTTCACTCACTGATGTTTTTCCGTATTTTTTCACGCTTGTTATTCTCAAATGTAACGACCCCATATCTCCATTTGTTGATCATGTGTTGACAATAAGGAAGAAATTTGAAAATGTCATCGTCATTGTCCACAACGGCGGTAAATTCGATCATGCGTTCATTTTGAATTATATCCCAACCAAAACGTCCCTAAAACCTTATAATGAGAGGTACACAATTGATTTCCATGATTGTTGAAAATGTCAAGTTTTTGGACTCTCTCAATTACTTCCCAATGGCCCTGGCAAAACTGCCCAAATCTTTCGGGTTCTCTGAATTGAAGAAGGGGTATTTCCCCCACCTCTTCGATCGTATGAAGAATCGAAACTACAAGGGCCCTATTCCTTCTCTGGAGTTTTATACTCCTGACAATCTCATTTCAGATGCTCGAGCATCTCTCATAAAAAAAGCATTCTGAAAGAGTAGCTGAAAATTATGTTCTCGAGTTCTCTCGAGAAATCATAGATTATTGTATTTCAGATGTAGATATACTGACAAAGGCTTGTTTGAAATTTCGACAGCTGATGCTGTCTGAAACTAATGTGTGTCCGTAAGCCGTAACAATTGCTTCGAGATGCCATAAGGTTTTCCGTAGGAATTTTCTCAAACCAAACTCCATAGGTATTATTCCCAAGGGTGGTTACAGACATCGTGATAATCAATCTGTGATAGCCACCCAGTGATTACTTTGGGAGGAGAAACTACGGGATATAAAAATCCAACAGGCCTGCCGATCTTCAGGGGCTCTTATCGGTAATCTCAAAGTTGATGGATACTCTGACGAGACAAAACAAGTTTTCGAGTTTCAAGGCTGTTTCTACCATGGTTGTCCCCGCTGCTATACTGATCAGAGAGATATCCCTCTCAGAAACTGTCCTTCCGAAACTATGAATCATCGTCATGACACAACCATTGCCAAAATCAATAAAATCAAATCCTTAGGGTATGAGGTTATTGAAAAATTGTAGTGTGATTTTCGCAGGGAACTTTCCAGTAGTGACGAACTTTGCAACTTTGTCAACGATCATCCTCTGCTCAAAAATCTACCCCTTGACCCTCGAGATGCTTTCTATGGTGGCCGAACGGGAAACATTGTCGAATATTACAAGGCCGGGGCTGGTGAACAAATTGAATACGTTGACGTTTGTTCGCTCTACCCGTGGGTATGTAAATATGGTAAATTTCCTGTGGGCCATCCAAAAGTACTTGTTGGTGAAGAGGCTTGTGCTGTGTCACTTTCCTCTATCTCAGGTCTCGTTGAATGTGCGATTCTCCCACCTCAAGATCTTTTTCATCCTGTTTTACCGCAAAAAATAAACAACAAGTTGATGTTTGTTCTTTGTCGCGTTTGTGGTGAAAACTTTATTACTAGTAGTTGTCATCACACTGATGAAGAGCGTACATTAACAGGAACATGGACTGTTGCAGAAGTATTGAAAGCCCTTGAGGTGGGGTACCGAATTATCAAGATCAAAGAGATTTTGTCTTACGATACTGTGCAATTTGGTGAAGATGTTTCGGGGCTAGTCACTGATATGATGAACAAATTCATCAAGATAAAACAAGAATCATCAGATTGGCCCACAACGGGAAGATGTTTTGCTGGAATTTTCTAAAATTACCGATAACCCTGGGTTGAGAGCACTGGCCAAGCTCATGCTAAATTCCTTCTGGGGTAAGTTTGGTCAGCGTGAAAACCAACCGAAAACTTCAATCATCAATCAGCCCTCGGAATTCTTTTCTATGATGACGGATCCTTCCCTCATTGTCAATACAGTACTCCCGATAAACGAAGATACCATCATTGTCAATTGGGAGTATAAGGAGGAAAGCTATGAAACTCTTTCCACAGTCAATGTGGTAATAGCTGCATATGTAACAGCCTCAGCTCGGTTGAAGCTTTACAGCTATTCACAGCAACTTGGGAAAAGGGTGTTGTACTATGACACGGACTCTGTTATCTATGTTTTCAAGTCAGAGGAATTTGACATTCCTACTAGTCAATTCATTGGTGATATGACCGACGAAATGGAATGTTACGGTACTGGTTCCCATATCACAGAGTTTGTATCTGGTGGCCCAAAAAATTATGCTTATAAGCTATGGTCGACCAAAGAACAAGAGTTCAAAGTTGTTTGAAAAGTTAAAGGAATTTCTCTCAACAATGCTGCTTCACAGCTTGTTAACTTTGAATCGATCAAAGATATGATTCTGAACCCTGGTGCTCCTATCAAAATTTTGAGCAAACAGTTCCGCCGAATCGAAGAACATGAGGTCATCACAGTTGATGATTCCAAAAAGTACAAGCCTGTAAGCTTGAAGCGGAAATTTCTCGAAGATCACACTTCTGTACCTGACGGTTCCAAACAGCGGAAATCATTATAATTTTTCAAATCACAGCATCGTCATTCTTTTTCATTTATCAGACAGAGGTGAACAAATTACGATTTAAGCTTTCTAATCAGTATGCTGTACAAAATTCGATAAAAAAAAGCCGGCGCAAAACTAGAGAGAAAACGAGCAATCGTTATCACGACCGGATCTTTCCAGTGAATTCAAACAATCAGCCGCTTTCACGGCTACTCTGAAAATCTGAGGTGAATATTTCAATAAAAAAAATAAAAAAAAGACCCAACCATCTGACAAATTAATGGAGTGTTTCTATTGATTTAAAAATCGATCTTCGTGCAGCTAGAAATAGAACAAACAAAAACTGCTCTGATTTTATATCAACAGACATCCGTTTTTAAAACAGAAAAAAAAAGAATAACAAACACAAAAGAGGCATTATCTGGCGAATTGATGAAGTGTTTCTATTAATTTAGGAATGAATCTCCGTGCAGCTAGAAATAGAACAAAACTGCTCTGATTTTATATTTTTATATCAAAATCTGTCACCTGTTCCATAATGAATTATTCACCCCAAATCTTTAGAGTGCGTGGTTTTGAATATACCTACAGGGGATTGTTTTCCGCATAAAAAAAAAGCAAAATGGATCAGCCACTCTACATCTTAAGTGATCTGGAAACGAGTGCAATTTTTTTTATATATTTAGGTCTTCCAATGTCAGTGTGACAGCTCTTCAGTATTTCGTTAGCTCTCCAACAGTACAGACGTAATCAGCAATGCCAAACTGTGACTGGGGTAGACCATGCAATTGCAGTGACTATAAACCTAGTTTCTGCTTTTTCTGTCATGAAGAGGAGGTTCATCACGTGGTTGAAGACTACAGCACCGATAGAAAAGGGATAGGTACCTACAGTTTCACAGCATGGTGTCAAGATTGTTTCAAGAAAAAAATAAAACGATATAGATTATTTTGTGTTTATCTCATCTGTCAATGAAATATTTGATAGGTATCCACATATTTTATTGACCACATTACACCCATTACTTTACTAAAATATGTAGGCAGTTCAGATCAAAATCAAGACATAAAATAGAAAGTTCCGAAATAAATGCATACTAATTTGAAAACGAAAAACATTTTCTGAATGACTATATTTTTCAAACCTAGATAACCAGAAGCACCCTGTATATACCATCAACTACATGGACATTTCGAATGAAAAATAAAATCCCAACTCATTTTATTAGCTGAAATCTAGCATAATATGAAAGAAAGAAAGACCTAATGTTTTGCGAAACACCCTGTATTCGAATAAAATTTAATTTTTGTTATTTGCTGAGAATCAGGCAAAATATTAAACTGAAAAATCTCAATGTTGCACGAAACACCCAGTATTCAAATAAAATCCTATTTCAGATTTATACTTTTTTCGTCAGCTAAAATATAGCAAAATATGAAACTGGAAATCCAAATGTTTTACGAAACACCATGTATTTGAATAAAATCCTAATTCAGATTTTCATACTTTTTCGTTAGCTGAAATCTAGAAGAATATAAAAAAATCCTTATGTTTCATGACACACCCTGTATTTGAATAAAATTCAATTTCCGTTGTTAGCTGAAAATCTAGCAAAATATTGAACTGAAAAAATCTCAATGTTTCACGAAACCCTGTATTTGAATAGAATCCTATTTCAGATTTATACTTGCTTCGTCAGCTGAAATCTAACAAGCTATAAAACATCTTATAATGTTCTACGGAATACCTTGTATTCAAATAAAATTCAATTTTTGATATTAGCGGAACTTTGGAGAATATAAAAAATAAATTCCAAATGTTTCACGAAAACGCCCTGTACATCAAGTTATTATTGAACACAGTTTTCAAAATATTTCGCTTATTATTGTTGATGTAAACTGTTCTGTTGTTGTTCCGAAAATTCAAGGTAAGTATTTCAAAAAGTGCCCAACTCAGTTCAATTTGATGATTTTTCTCAGACATGTACCTAAGCACAATAATTTTGAAGAATCAAATGAAATCTATGATAAGAAACAATGGTTTAATAACTATAGTTTTTCGTGTCTATTCAAATAATACCGAATTATCCAAGACTGACGCCTTTTTCGGTTGATAAGCAGAAAACTAAACAACTTACCAATTTCATTGAAGAACAGCTATATCCAGAAATGAACGAGTAGCATCCATCTATACAGTGAGGGTTGCTCCATTATTTAGTTTCCCATACACTATTCACACACCGGCACAAATTTTGGCAAAACACACTAAAACATATGTCCTACACGAATGAAAATTGAAATAATACTCTTATGATTGGGAGAAATATTGTTATTCGAACTTTAATCAAACAGGAAATCGTAATCTCAGGCTCCATTGCCTGTTAAACTATTTAATAAATGAACGCTCTTTTCTTAATTCTAATCTACTGTGAACTAAAAATATCAATGTTATACAAGGTCTCCACCAAAAATAAGGCCACCGTATATATAACTCAAACACACTATCTATTGAAAGAAAGCATCAAAGGTAATCTGATCACGTGTCATAGGTCAGCGGCCATTTGTCATACGTCTAATCCACGTTTAACATAAGAGTAGGGCGTCCTGTATATTTTTCAAATTGCTATTCAACTGAAACACCCTGTCAATGATGATTCTTCGCTCAAAATATCAGAAATAGCTCTTCTATGTTCCCCATGCCAAAATATTTTCAGCTTCCTTCAAACGTCTGACAACATTGTAGCATGATAGACTCTTATCACCAGAACGTCTGGCAGCATTGTAGCGTGATCGACCCTTATCTCCAGAGTTTTGGTATATCGTCGCTCATCAAAAATATAATTTTATTTCGTTGTAATAAATAAATCTAGAACCAATAGCTTTGTTCGCCGGTACCATTTGAATACGATTTTCATAGATGGAAGAAGTTTTATATCTGGGTCACTTGATTTCACCAGCCGGAATATCACCATATCCAGAGAAGAATCGAGTTATTCGAAGATATCCAGCACCAAAAGATTCTAAGGTAACCAAACGTTAAAAAATGCGCTCATGTGTTAAAATATCCTCTGAATTTGCAATAGGATCAGTCCTCTTGAATTTGAATGATGAACCTTTCGCATTTGCAAGTCGTAAATTGAATGAATCGAAGGTGAACTGTGCGAATTCGAAATAGAACTGTTAGCAATATGTTTCAGACCAAATTTATTCGGGAGAGAATTCCATATTCTGACGGACCACAGACCTTTGATATATCTTTCTGGTATGACAAATTCATCGAGTAGGTTGAAGAAATTCAGGCTCATGTTAGAGGAATACGATTTTTAGATAACATACGTCAAGGGCTCTGATAACGTCGCAACAAATGCGCTGTCTCGTATTTCAATGGATTCGAGCGAATTGAATACCATGATTGATGCAGTGACAAATAATAATATTTCAGGGAAATTTTATTCAATGTTGTGCGTCGCATGAGACAGAAAATGAGTTTTCCGTGTCTCGGAATCTTCCAGTGTTGTATATTATATGACCATTAAGTGGAATCGACTCTGAGCTTTTAGTATTTATGAGTCTATTTGTTATCCACGAATAGGCACAATAGGAACATCGGCCTCGGATTGCTTGTTCCTGTCACAATGCAATTTTGCCTACGATTTCCATCAAAGTAACTTGTATGCTTGGAGTGATTTGGATAACCCCTGCGCAGTGAGGGCATTGTTTGAAGAAGTGAGGAAGTGAGTATACAGAGAACTTTTGCATTACAAGTACGGGATATAACGCTATTTAACAGGTAATTGCCGTTGATATATTGGCCAGATCATCATTTCAGCTTGAAGAGTGGTTATTTTACTCAATGAGGAATATACTGATCTAGATGAATGTCCCCTAGGAACAAAGAAACTCCTATGTGGTGAAGAGACGTACATGTGTGCCGTGTCTGCAGTAACTTCCGCTGTAGAATTTGCGCGGTTGCTATATCCAGAATAATATTCAGGAGCGGGTGGATGATCAATTAACGGTTCTTGAAATTTCACAGAGGTGCCAGATACCCGACGTGAGTTCCTACCCTCAGCGTGAGTAGGTACCTTACCTCTGAATTGAGAACCAATTGGTATGGATCTCTCGGGTGGTGAGAATTCCGGAATCCCACTATGGCCTGTCGACTGGCTCCTTGGTGGGTCAGGTTCCCATTGGGCCGCTAATTCCTGAGGATGTGAACCTCTTGAAGCCCTTTCATGATTCTCCTTCTGGCCTTCCACATCCTCACCATTATTATTGTTATTAGAGTTATTTTGCGAACTACTGTGCATAACAAAAGGTTGTAGTGGGACCGTTTCTCCTGACAGACCTCTGGTTGTCTTGATACATGTGGCAGTGCTACCCCATCCACCCTAAGATGAACATCTGCAGTAAGATGTCGACTCCACGAGAGTAGAGCATTTCGCCTCAACGCTTGAGGAGCATCGCATTGTATTCTGTTTAATCGGGCATCAATATGTTACAAGCGCGAAAAGATACGCTTGAATTCATTATCTCGGTTTTCCAGATTGAAATTCTGAATATCATCGGCTGAATCACCAAGTTTTCCTTCACATAAGGACAGTTCATATTCAGGCTCAAGTTGAACCACCGAAGGAGGGGCCATCAATCCGGTACGCTCCATTCTCAAAACTTCTCTGAGACTAGCTCGCTTTTCATTAACTGAACTCGTAATTGGACAACCACGAATTTGAAGTTCATAAGTGACCTCGTCACCTAAAAGTCGATTGATTTCCATTATATGAAGTCAACCACAGGACAGAGGTGGAGAATATAACTATACCTAATGTGCAGTAGACAACTACAAACCCTATCTCTCCCTGCAAAAGGAAGGCCTAAAGCACCTTCACCACCAAGGCTGCAACTTCAGGCAACCTCAGCAAACTAATCTAACTTAACTAATTAACCTAACTGATGAGCCTCATCTAGAATGACACGGTTTGGAAATCACCTCCAACCAAAGAAATATATCTCCTATGGAAATGCCTAACAACCGGCTCAGTATAACGACGAATCCAACTATGGGTATTACCACAACTAATTATAATAAATGAAACGTTTGGGCGCCATTTTGTAACTATCATTCAGGTGACAATCAGATGGATCTATTATTTTCCCGGATTCGAGCTTTCTCAAGGGTAGGCCGCTAGCCCTTACAAGTGGAGAAGGGTCGTGAGTAGAAGTGATGTTAATTATGAGCGCCACCCGCTTTATTCTACCCTCGAGACAAATTTCTTGACTTTTTAAGAAAACGGGAACCTATTCCAGGAGTCCGAGAAAATAAAAACCCAAATTCAGATATACAAAATATATTCGGGAGAATATGACATCTTCGCCAGCATTCCCTAACAATACATCAATCTATCTATTTAAACTACACCAAAGTCCAACTTATCGAGCATAGAAAATAATTCAAATCCGCTGCAGATTAATAACTCAACTCTTTACTCGTTGATACCAGTGGAAAACGCTCCAATCAAACGAACGTACCTTAAAGCTGCACTGATCTACACTGACGGGCACCGATTCAAAGGAACGCACCTATCAAAGGAACAGACCAAGAATCGGCACTGACCTACACTGGCAGGCACCGATTCAAACGAACACGCCTATAAAATGAACAGACCTACTCTATGCCACGGAACATACCTACTTTGACAGCTGATCTGAACCGAGCCAACTAACAACAGAATCTTTATTAATGATTATAATGACATTGGACACGGTCAACAAATTATACAGAAGGTCACTAGAGTCGACAAATTATTCGTGTCACTTATGTAATAGGACTAATTGCACAAGGAAATAATGATAGATGGGTAAAGACTGGTCACTCAACTGTACCTAATTATGTAAGCTTCAAATGTATGAATTATTCCCTGGCGGAAAACTATCTACATAAGCAAGATCTAAATATTGGCTAAGCAATATTTAAGCAATGTTTACGTATTATATTAGCATACCCAAACAATATCCAAGCAAAGCACAGCAACCAATGAAATGCATGGGGACTTACCTTCAGTATAGCTATACCAAGGGCTTACAGAGTCCTACAGGCTCTTAAACCAAAATAGAAGTACTTGAGATATCTCAGAGGGTAATAAATATACCAGTATCAAGATAGTGTATCAAAGTCAGGCAGAGGTATTATTGTTATGATTTTGAAGTTATCATGGAAATAGGTAAATTATCCTTAATCCTAGGGATTATCTGTTGAGTTCCTGATGCTCTTGAAGTTTCAGTAGCTCGATCAGTGTGGTAGTAGTTACATTCCATCAGTGGGATGAGAGTGGGATAAGCGCTGACAGGAAATGACATGCAGGTAACAGTGCAAAGCAGAGCAGAAAGCACGTACAAAAGTGAAGAATGATTTGAGGTGGAACCCCAAAATCTCAAGGCCTAAAAGAGTATTTCATATCAACATAGGGTCAAAACACAGGTAGTTTGTATATGCAGAAGCAACACTTTCAGTGACTACAGCTCACCATGGATGTGAGGGGGCCTGAAAGTGAGTGTCAGACTGGTCAGAATGAGGTTATGGTCTTCAGTGCAGTGAGATTCTCAGCTTTCAATCGATTCAATTCAATCCCACAAACTGTGGTTCATTACTATACCTTTTCAACTTCAATTTCGGAATCGGTGAGTTATATTTCGGAAAAAGTAATCTTGATTTCAGAATTGGTAAGTTCGATTTCAGAAATGGTAAACTCAATTTCAGAATCGGTGAGATGAATTTCAGAAAAAGTCCATTCAATTTCAGAAATGGTAAGTTGTATTTCAGAATTATTATTGGTAGGTTCAATTTCAGAAGATGAAATCCTTTTATATGTTCGAAATGTTTTTAATTGCGGAAGAGAAGATTGTTTACAGTGGATGAACGGTGTTTGAGAGCCCTATGTTGAATCAGATTGAACATATTATATGGGGTGCCTTCAAGTCAGAAGTGAAGAGCTTCTTGCAAGAGCATCGCCAAAGGGTCATACCTGGGGATCCGAACAGCTTGCTCAACCAGATATATAGAATTCAGACTGCGATGTCTTGAGGAATGTGCAGATCATTCAATGAAAATGATAACACCTCAAATGAGTTTGCATTCTCATAATCATGTGCAACGCTATTATCTTCCAGGGATTCGGATGGAAGGCATCTATGGATTAAATTGAGATTATAATTATGTTATTGAATTGATTTTGACAAGTTGAATATTGTAAATTTGATTTGTTAATCTCACATACAATTACAAATATTTCGAACGAATATAAGGATTTTTTTCCTGAAATTGAACCTACCAATTCTGAAATACAACTTACCATTTCTGAAATTGAATGGACTTTTTCTGAAATTCATCTCACCGATTCTGAAATTGAGTGTACCATTTCTGAAATCGAACTAACCAATTCTGAAATCAAGATTACGTTTTCCGAAATTGGAGTTGAAAAGGTATAGACGTTTCACCGTCAAAAAAGTAATAATTGTACAAATTCGATAAGCAAATCTCACTTGTTAAAATCCACTCAAATAAGAGTGTCGCCTCGTTAGGAATCTCAAATTCACCAAAACAAAATGGCTCCTTTTGATTGACCAAAATCCCGTTTCGTGAATCGTGGCAGAAAGATAAAAGATATGATGATGTAGGCCCGCCCTTAGATCATCTATATTTGAGACTCTAGAAGTCATATTTCATAGAACATCCAGGTGAACCCATTTCGTGCGGTTGACGTCACTTCAAGGTACGTAGAAGAAATGGACTGCTTCAAGGCGTACAGATGAATTGTTCATGCTTTGAGAAGTATGTTATAAAATTATATTGAGTATACTGAGTGATTTCATTTTGGAAGAATAGACCTGTAACAAGCTATAAACAGAGCGATATTTCATCAGATTGAGTCCTGCCGAGTTGCGATTCGGGAATAAAATCGATACTATGCAATTGAAATCAATATAGTATGACCTTGTTGCATATGGAAATGATTGTATTGCGCCAGTAGCGGATAAAGTGGCGGTGGTACGCACAATGTTCTCCGGACATTTCAGGTATTTTCTTTCATGCGCACCAAGCGATAAAAAAATAAATTGTAGAGTAGCGAAAAAATACAATGAGCGATTCGAATGTGAATATAAGTGATTTTTTGTATGCGAAACAACAGTTGAACGAATACAAATATCAGTTAGCGCGGTCTCCGTCGGGCGTTTAATATTTCTAGATCAAAAGTGTGCCGCTGATAGCTGCACTAATTTGATTTACGGTGTTTATACGAGGGACTACCAAACGTAAGTTGATATCGCCTGGTGAAAATTATTGTACGAGGGGTAACGCAAACTGAAATAAGGAGTCTTTGATTATATGAAATATTCGATGTTTAGTTTCAGGAAATGAAGAAAACATATAGGTATATGATGTATGAGTTGACATAAAGATCGAAATAATATTTCAGGAATTACGTAACAAATGAAAGACGAAAAATAGGCTGAGATTTGGTGATACCTTTATCTTTATCTTAATTGTTTTCTTGTTCTAATATCACTATTTATGAATTTCGATGTATAATATATACGTTCTCATGTATACAAACTCACGAAATAATCGAACGAAAAGTTTTCACAGGGATAAATATAATTCAAGTTATAGAATTCATTTTGTTTTGAGCCGATTTTTGTCCCAACCAAAGTATTAGAGTTATGTACAAAATTGTCTTCTAATTCTAAAAGAAAATCGACAATATCTTTGGATGGCACACTCAATCCACCAAATGGGGATTTCTTATTCTAATATGCCTCAAGTTTGCAGAATGGAAGTTCTTCATTGATAAGGTCGGTATTGTTCAAATAATTGACACATACCTCACAAGAGTGCTGCAACAAAGCTTTTTCCAGAAGATAGCCTATTAGTAGTGTATCGGGGGCGGTCCTGCGACAGTTTGGTAAGCTGTCCATCAAGTTCTCAAGCTGTCACAGCCAATAGGGGGGTCTTGTTGTGGTTTGTGCAGACATTCCGAGGTGCAGAAGTGTCGACAATGACCAGGAGGTGTTGTCACCGAAGATTTACCTTGTCACCTGTTTTTTCCTACCTGTCTTCCCTGTGTCACCTACTTAATTAATTGTTTTTCGCTCAAATCACCTGTTTTGCCTAATTTACTGGTTTCACCTTCTCAACGTGTCCCCCTGTATTACCTCTTTCACCTGTATCACCTGTTTCTTCCATTTTACCTGTTTCACCTGTTCACCTGATCTTCCCCTCGGTTATGTATGTTCCATTTCTTGGAAAGTTCACCCTACAACCTGATATTGAAAATTCTAGATTGTCAGTCTGCAACCATGAGAATCATACTGATTATGTTGTTGATATAACAGA